AGCACCATCGAGCCTGATGGAATTTGTTTCATGCGGTTGCACGACAGGCTGCAAGCACGGACATTGCTCCTGCCGGAGACAGCACCTCAATTGCACGGATGCTTGCAAGTGCTCTCACTCGGGCCAGCCAGGAGTGTGAGAATGGGCAACCACTGGAGCTTCAAGTAACTGCAGAACTCAGTGAAGACGAGGATGAATAAGAAAAAGAATGCCCATCCTGACAGGTAATCGTATGTATAATGTGATTGAAGATTGAGTGTTCTTTAGAGTTCAGTGATGCACATTGTACAATCATGAACATGTACGTGACTGTACATCATGCCCAATTCAAGTCCTTCTGATGTTTGCCCAGTGTTCAGTATCAATATCACATGTGGACTAAAATCAATGTGGGAGATATAAAAATGCACGGGAATGATCATTGCGATTATTTTTCATTGCCATCGGCTTCGGCCTCATTTCCTCTGTGCTGCGCTGATGAGTCCACAAAGGACGAACTAGTTCTGTCCACACGTTGGGTGATCATTGGAATTGGAATTGTGTATTTTCTGTGACCTGATTATTCTCTACAGGTCGACCTTTTTCGGAAACATGAAACATATTCCGTATGGTTAATCCTGCAGTATAAGTCAGTGTTATGATGACGAAGTCTCCCTCGTACACAGCTGCAACAAACGTAGTCTTCTGGGGTCACGCGGTCCTTCAGGTCTGGTCTGTCAGTGACCTGTGCTGATGGTCACAGTGTTGTGATCCTTTCTCTGGACATTCAGATTATTCTGCAACCCATATAATAACTATGCAATGCATAAATGCGGCTGTGTGTTCTGCCTCATATCTGTATAATGTACACCATTTTTGTATTGAACGGTCTGAGATATTCTAAGATCAGACATAGTATTCTGCAATGATCAGTACCTGCATGCCACAGCCAGTCCTATTATGATCTGATAAAATGGTATACAATGACTCGAATGATGTTTCGAAGTAGTTACAGTATTGTGTTCGACACACGCGGTCTTCTTGCACACGTCTGTGTACATGAACAATATGGACGTATTGGGCATTTTGTTTTTCTTTATTTTTCATGTTAGATCATATTTTCTCTTTCCAGTTGCATCTGGGAAGGAGGCACTCTGGATATATGACCCTGTGGAAAAAATAATAATACCAAAAACATTGTAATTAGCCAGAAAATCCAATTTTAGGTTCTGGTTACCATGGCAACCAGTGGTGATTTGTATTTCACTCGCCGTGCAACCCTTGGACAAATTCAGGAATGACAACAAACGGGTTTTCAATGTATGCCAGTCCATCTATCGACTGGGCCAAAAAAATTGCGGTGCCCTCTTACTCGGAACGAGAATTCACATTTTTGTCACTTGGCCCACAGACTATACTGGGATTTCGCATCTTCTTTCTGTTTGTCCATGGAAGAAGAGGGTATTTGTGTCATCATGGCTTCTGGCTGTGTTGTTGGCTACTATAATCTTACTGGTAACCCCCCTGGGATGAACCTGCACCAATTTCCGAAGGATTGTGCTTGGCACAGGCCGAGCAGTGCCGCCATAGCAGCTATCAAGCGACATAATTATTTGCTTGACAATTTCGGGACTACAATGTAAATCCTTCGCGTGTGTTCCAGCCATTTGGCAGAGGAGGATTTTCAGGAGGAATATTATGCACTCATCCGATGCGGACGCTGGTGGATGAAACTGTGGTGTGTCCTTTTTCGCACGCCACACTGTGAAGCGCCAGTCGAAAAGTGGAGGTGAGTGCAATATTTCAAAAACACTAGCTACTGTATGTAGTTCTTTCTTTTCCAAAGCATTTGTAGAATTGTTTTGGACTACATCACTACGAAATGTGAAGCTTTCCGAAACCGGCCTGATGAGGTGGACGGCAGTAGATCTCCTGTTTCCCTAGGCTATACTGCGTGCGATCGATGAACCTGTCTGCGATTGCTGTTCTTGATTTTACAGGAAGAAGATCAAGAGCGGCTGTACCATCGGTCGCAGTGACTCAGTGTTGAGCTACGACCACTGCCAGTGCCACCGCCCAAAGGTTATAGGAAGGACTGTTTGCAGCGCCAGCGCCTCTAGCTGGCATGTTTTTTCCTGTATGAACACACAGCCTGTACTGCTGATAAGCTACATCACGTAATGACCCGCAGTTCAAGGAGAGAAGATAGTCCACATACCGGCAACAGTGTACACCTATTCAGGAGCTCGTTGCGTTTTCTCAGTATGGATGCAGATGAGAGCCAGACATTATTATTATTGTGTGTATGCGTGCACGAGCGTTAGTGTGTGCGTGCACGAGCGTTAGTGTGTGCGTGCACGAGCGTGTGTGCGTGCGCGCGCGCCCGTGCGTGAGTGTGCGCGTGCGCGCGCCAGTGCGTGAGTGTGCGCGCACGTGAGTGTGTTTGCGCGCACGCGCGTGAGAGACAGACATTATTATTATTGTGTGTGTGCGTGCACGCGCGTGAGTGTGTGTGTGCGCGCGCACGCGCGTGACACTGAGTGTGTGTGCGCGCACACGCGCGTGAGTGTGTGTGTGCGCGCACACGCGCGTGAGTGTGTGTGCGCGCACACGCGCGTGAGTGTGTGTGTGCGCGCACACGCGCGTGAGTGTGTGTGTGCGCGCACACGCGCGTGAGTGTGTGTGTGCGCGCACACGCGCGTGAGTGTGTGTGTGCGCGCACTTGCGTGAGTGTCTGTGTGTGCGCGCACGCGCATGAGTGCGCGCGCAGGCGCACACATGCGTGTGCTTTTGTGTAACGTAATATAACATTCCAAAGATATTCACGTCATCTATTCTGTGTTCTCCTTTAGGTCATTCTCTCCCCCTTGCGGGAGGGACATGGAATGACAAGTAGTAGATGCATTGCCGTTAGTGATCCTGAGGGATGTGTGGGTATGCAACCAAGTGCATGAGTGCGCGCATGTGTGCGTGCATGTGCACAGGCACTTGTATGCTTATGCATTCGTGTGAGCACGCGCTTGTGAAATCGCGTGTCTGTGTGCGTGAGCATGTGTGACTACTATACTATGTGCCCACCAAGGTGAGCACATGTGCGTGCGTGGGGCGCAGGCGGATATGTGCACACATTTTTAGAATGATAATCAAGAAGGACAGAGCTGTTCAGGTAATGCAGTCATGAGACACCACAGTAGGGCAAAACGCACTCAATATGCTACTGTGCTGCTGCTAGAGTGCACAGCGTAATTGTTGGTTCACAGCTACGTGAAATACAAGAGAACGTCTCAGCATTCTGTAAAGACTAAGTGATAATGCAAAAGGTGAGAATGTATTTCGCCACAATACGAATTGAGGTGCAGTCCACTTATGTGAGATAAAGCACAAGTGAACCGATACACATTGCACGACTTGCACGGAGATAATGCTAGCCATGTTACGCAGCAAACTCCATGTACAGGAGTACGAGTGAGGAGACTATTGATCTGAGTACTGTGCGAATACAAAATTTCACACGATATGAAGAGAACGATTCGATTTGTGAGCATTACGTAGGACTATACTGTGAAAACACTTACGGATTGTCAGTCTTGTCTGAGCTGCTTTGGCTGCCGCTTCATTTCGAAATAGCCCAGCCAACCGGTTGCCAGATATTGCTGATGGAGAGCGACTTCTCCAATTGCAGTCATTTCTGCTTCATCCACATTTACAGCCCGAATGGAAGCCACCGCTTGCGCTGCCATAATTATCCTTTCCTGAAAATTTCGGCTCATGCCCGAAGCCAAACATTTTCAGCTCAGGCTCTGAGCTTTCAAGCTCGTCTGATACGTCGGAATCGCTCATGGTGAGGACGTCTTTGTCAGAACTATTCCTTTCACATACCAAAATACCTGTACTTCTGTTCTTGGCCCAAGCAAGCGAGTCTCAATGACGTAGAAGGGCGTGTTGGGGGTGTGTCGCGGCCGCATGACGTCATGGCGCGTCCCCCGAAAGTACAATTTAAACCGAAGATATCTCAGGAACGCTTGGTTGGATCGAAGTGGGACCTTCACCATTCGACTCAGCGTCCAAAACTCTACGGACCATGAAGTTTTGATTTTTGGGTGTAGTTCCCCTTTAATGCACTACCCGCTATCATTCGATCCCAGCGTACCTTGCCTGCTTTTCGTGCTAGCTGCTCACAATTTCTCCTTGGACACCCTGTAAAAAGGCAATAGGCCTGTTGGGTATACCCAAGTAAAAATAATAAATACTACTACTACTACTACTACTACTACTACTACTACTACTACTACTACTACTACTCACGCTGCTGCATTCCTTGGGCCTCACGAGGTGTTTATCGCGCTGGAAACTTTCATGGATTGGGTTCTATGCCCGTTTGAATTTGCGAATCAAAAAATTAATAAATACAAACAAACAAACAAAACAAAAACGGAGTGTGTGTATCCCTGGTGATGGTTTGGCCTGGAGAGCACTACAAGTTGTACAACAAGTACAAGTACAAGTCGTGCTCTTCGGGCATAATCTTCCTCAGCCTACAACTTTACTAGTACACCATGTGTATACTCTAGCTCACCGCCCCACCCCCGCTGTGCAGCATCTGATGGTTCTGTGGTATTCAGTAAAAAAAAATTAAAAAAAGCTCAACTGATGAGGGATGTCCCGCAACACTGTGTATTGAGCAGGCCTGAGGGAGTGGTGCTTTCTGGCAAGTATACTGAGTGGAAGATGTTGTGGGCTCCTCATGTACTCCAGATGGCGGTCGTGAGTCAGTCAAGAGCTTGGGCAGGACACAATCATGATGCGTAAGTAACAAGTTAGTTCGTATAATTATAAAATAGGGTTAGTCCCGTCTCACAGTGAACAATACAATCATGTACTGTACGTGCTCCTACAGTGTATGTGGACTGGAGTTGAAAGTAATTAGTTAGAATGACATTGACCTAATAAGTGGACCACGGCCGGACGCGGTTTATTCACTACCACACGACACAGTCATTATTACCTCCTCAAGACCTTACCCTATGCCAGCGCCGAGCTCCAGAACTCGCATTTCTTTCAGAGCGGGCAACATGGCCAGTATCTCTGGCTTCTCGGATTTTTTCATCGTCCGCAGTGCTTTCGAGTCGAGCATGACATCTTGCCGCGATGCCGCCGCACAATGGCCGTCCCAGATGTCCTTCATTGCAGCGCGAGTCCTGCTTTCATCGTCATCGTGTCTGGTGCATTGGTGAGCTGAGCAGTTGCTCTCTGTTTCAGCCATGTTTGCTGAAGACTAGAATCAAGAAATAACCTGCAGATCATTCAGTTCAGTCGCAGACTCTGATACAATGTACAAGTAGTCAAAATGGAAGAACCGAAACTGTTCCCTATAGTGCAGTGACATGAACTGACAAGAAAGACTTGCCGACAATACAGTCATTACTACTAGTACTACCTTGCCTTGATGACCAGCCTACATTGTGCTTCGAGCAAAGGAACGACTCAGTCCTGCAGTAGTGAACACAACCGCGCTGGCTTATGCTCGTAGCCCTAATAATAGGTGGATGTCTCGAACTGAAAGCACACAATTGGTTAATTATGTAGCAGTCGTCGACATGTGGACAGGTAAGTAAGGTACGTGATCACCGGGTCACGTGTACCACCGTGCACCGTGGTACAAAGGATACTAGTAACGGACTTACATGTATACAAATACTGGCAGTGATCATTATCACACTCAGACACACTTCAGACGAATCAACACCATTGTTATCCACGATTCACGCCTTTCAAGCCTTCTCTTCAGGTGGAAACAAGCCAGCGTACAAATTACAATGAAAGCATTCGTTACAACCCGCCTTTCATTTTCTTTCTTCCTTTTTCCTATCTCTCCTTTACCACAATTACCTTTAAAATTGTATTCACAGTGGGCCCATTGTTGGTAGGCATATGCCTGTTTTGATTTCCACTATAAATAAAGTGCTGTATACAACAACAACAACAACAACAACAACAACAACAACAACAACAACAACAACAACAACAACAACAACAACAACAACAACAACAACAACAACAACAACAACACCAACAACATTGGCCACTGGCTATCGTAAGAATTAATATGTGAAACATCCGTGACCTTTACACATACATGTACATGATTGTAGAAAGAATGAGCAAAAAGGGGGGTGCCCGGGTGCAAGTGTGTGTGAAGATATCGAACATGCATGAAATTTAGTGTGACCAGTCAACAATAGACAACCAGTGCACATACATGTACATGTAACGAATGAGTTTAGTTCAATACGTGAGCATCTGGAGGAACGCATCCGACAGCACACACCGCTTCGCTTAATTCCATAACACGCACCTTCAACGCGACTACGAAGAGGACGCCTACCAAGGAGTCATGCAGGTAAAATATGGTCCATCACGGCTCTGCTGTATGTAGTTGTACATGTACATGTACGTGACGTGTAATTCATTGTTCTTGTTCCTTTGCTCTTGCTCTCGCCTGTATTCCACGTGAAGAGAAGGCTTGACAGTGTACTCGTGTACCTTTCAACATGTTCCTGTTGAAGAATCTGAAGTGTATCCTTCTAAGAGGGATAGAATGTTTGGCTCCGAAGAAACTAACAATTTAAAAATAATATTAATTGTGCGGGGTAGTGCCTTAGCTGTGTTAGCATTGTGCAGAGCTCACTGACTTGGGCACTCTGGCAAGGTACGTTCGGGCCTGGTTTAAATCTAGCTTTGGAAAATTTATTTTTCATTGCTACCAGGTTCGGCTTCCTTTCCTCTGTGCTGCGCTGATGAGTCCTCAAAGGACGAACCAGTTCTGTCTGCAGATTGAGTAATAATTATTAGTTTGAACTGCTTAATTTAAACATTGATTACTATTATCATGTTGCAATAGCCGGTACGTGAGTAGGACGTCACAGCATTTCAGTGAAAGCATAAAGCAGCATGTGCTACTTTATCTCGTGCCAGTGGGCGTCCATTCTTCTCGACCGAGACGTGGCCGTCCGCCAAAGAATCCGCTACCATTGGCACCCGCGTGCCAACTACTAAGCCACGGCGCGGGCGTCCACCTGAGAATATCTCACTTGACTCTTCTCCATCAACACCCGTGGCGCCAATCAACGGCTGTCACCCGTGGCGCCAATCCCCCCTCCCCCTGGCCGATCAACTCTGCAATTCCATGGCTCCTTTGTTTGGAATTCACTCCCCAGTGATATCCGCGCGAGATAACCAGTCCCTGTCATTTCAAGCTTGCCATTGCACAATCCATGGCATCCATTTCGGGTATCATGATAATAGCCACCACACTAGCGCCTCTGGTGGTCAACCCCATGTTCAACTTATGTTTATTCAACTTTATTGACTCTTCGTTTACCACTTTGACTAGCCTATGTCCAGTAGTGACTTCTGAAGTTATTAGTTTCACTCATTTCAATGTCTTCCACGTCACATGGTTTGCTTTGCTAGTCAACAATCATTCCATTCCATTTATTGCATAATATTTTCTTCACAACAACAAGCGCTGATGGCCTGACTGGAGCAATCGCGTACCGGAGGAGTGAGCGGCTGCGATTGAAGACGGTCCACCGTCTACCAGAAGTAGTCATTGATGAATTCTGGAGAAAGATGTTTCTGTCAAAAAGTTCTCAAAACGAACTGGTGTCTGTTGGTTGTCGATAGGTTGTGTTTCTACTATTATCACCAGTGATTCTTTCTTCTCAGCAACCACCACACCACAACTGCGCGCTCTGGCCGACCTCGACACCTTGTTGCCACAGAACACCATCAGCAAAGCGACACTAAGCCTTATGTTTGTACTCAAGCTCTCGTCAGTGAAGGTTACGTAGTAAAAGAAAAAAGAAAAAAAGAAAATTATCGTGTCCGTTCCCAAAGACCTTTTGAAGGGAACTCACGACGGTCGCTAACACCCGGTAAACCCTAACGTTAAAGTAAGTAAATTATCGTGTCCGTTCCCGAAGGGAACTCACGACGGCCGCTAAGACCCGGTAAACCCTAGCGGCAGATGCAGCGCCTAACGGTGGGGGTGAGTGGATAAGTCTCACAACCACTGGCACAAGTGCCGAGAACGACCCCATTAGCTGCATCCATGTACCCCTTGTGCCTGGCCACAAGCTCCCAGTTGACTGTGGGTAGCAGCAGCACGGCTGGAAAAACCGCTCCCAGGCAGAACTTGAACCAGGTACCTCTCGTATCTCAATCATGGTCTTTGACCAACCCACTGTGCCTGCCTGGTGTATTATTATTATTATATTGATTACAATATCTCAAAATTCAGTGGAAACACCGGCCAATGTCAAGAGGGTGGGTGAAAGCCAACCACGGCGATAAATAAAAGTAAGGGTTAGGGGGAACACGAAAGACTAGCAGAAGCAACAGCAACAACAACTCCGTAAAGGAAGAGAATGTCAATAGCCAGTCAAAAGCAACAGAGACGCAAAGGACATGTGGATAATGAGCTATTTATGTCGCAGTATATGTACATGTACATGCTAGCCAGGGTCAGGATACGCAAACTGACCTATTTCGGGCACACATGACGCCCATCTGGCTGCGAGCTTGTACGTGACGTGATGTTTGGTGTCGTGGATGGTAAGAGAAAGCGTGGTCGTCCGAAGATTTCCTTTGCTGACAACATCGTTTCGTGGACTGGTATGTCTCTGCATGAGAATTGCCAGTTGGCATCTGACAGAGATGCCTGGCAGTCGCACTGTGCATCTACTTTTTTTTTTTTTTTAATGTTTATTTGAATTCGGATAGCTCAACAGTACAGAAGTACAACTACAAAGAGTACCGAATAGAAGGCCCCGAGAACGGGAAACCAAAAAAACAAAAAAAAACAAAAACAGCAACATCAAGTTACTGATTATGCACATTGCTTGAAAGCAAATCACAACAATGATTAAGAGTTAAGCTGTCTTTTAGCCAAATAGCCAATTTGACGCGGAAATCTGCGATAGTAGTGCAGGACTTCAGGTCGTCTGGTGAATAATTCCAAACAAGAGCCGATTTACTTGAAAAGGACAGAAAGCCAGACATAGATCTATAGCGATTGATACTCATGTTATGAGTTGTAGAGCCGCGAGTAGTTCGGGTAGACGTACAGATGGGAAAGAGGGACTGCACGCAAACAGCCGGCTTAATACAGTAACAGTGGAAAATGAATACAAGGAACAAAAATACTGATCGATATTGGAAAGAGGAAACATTGAGGTGGTGAAGAAGTGGCGTGATATTAGCTTGGGGTGATGAGCCACAAGCAACTCGTACAGCGCGCCGGTGGAGTGAGGCTAGCTTGTTTCTATTTTTAGCGGACATAAACGAAAGGTATACAGGGAGAGCATATTCTAGATCAGGCTGAATAACACAGACAACGAAAGTACGGCGGGCAAACAGGTTAATCTGGCGGAAAGATCGACGCACTGCTTACACAGCTGCATAATGCCGTTTATTATTATTTTTTAAATTTTACTTATATTATTTTTTCGGCAACGCAGATGATGATGATGATGATGATGATGATATGTACATGTATATGGGACGGCACAGATCTTCAACAGGTGGAGTGAGATCATAATCCTTAACTTCTCTGGGCAGATTGAGCCAAACAGAAAATGCAATAAAGAGAGGGGAGCGCAAAAGAGTGGATGAGTTACACTTGGGGAGTAAGAGCGAGTTTCTAGTTCTTAGAGATGAGAACCAACTGGAACCAACTGGGATGAGGTGGGCACAACTCAAGCTTAATTAATAGAATGGACAAGAGCAGCCAGGTGTGCACTGCGTCTATTTGATAACGGGGTTGTGTGAGCGAGTTTATAACGAGCGGATGATGAGAGCATGCGGGGTTGACGGAGGAGAATTTTAAGGATTTTCTGGTGGTGCATTTCAAGCTTTGCAGCAGCGGACGAGGATAATCCAGCCCAAGATGTATCGGCACACTCGAATATTGGGCGAAGGTAGGCTGAATAAAAAAGACGCTTGCAAGAGATTGGGTGGTAGGAGCAGTGGAGGGAGAGAATGCCTAAGGATTTACTGGATTTTGACAGAGGTATTCAATGCGGGACACCCGCACACCTGTTGCACGATGCGCGTCAGTTGAAGGGAGGTGGATTCGCCTACGAAACCCAGATGGTGCCGGACTCAGGATCGGGGAAACATGTCTTTATAAGTGGTCATAAAAGATGCATTCACATACTCTGGACACGCAGGGAAGAAGGGAGATATGGCGGTAGTTTGCAGGTTCGTGGCGGGAACCTTTATTGAAAACCGTCTTTTGCTGTTTTCCATACGGAAGGAAATATGCCCGTGGTAATGACATGTTGAAAATATGGAACAAAGGATTGCAAGATTTTAATTAAGCTAGCCTTCCTTCCTTATGTATGCCTGGAATAGGTTGTG